AATAACGAATTTAACGGACACATTTTGTTAATATTCCACGTTAGTTTATACCAATCAAGTAAATGGATGATTCGAATAATTTCACTTAAAAACAAAACACATTATTCAAAATTAAATTAACATAATGTAACAAGATGAAATCAGTTAATGCTAATATCCACATAACATGAATTGTAATTGATTTGTTGCTTTTCCGAAAATTGTTATTGAGTTAAACAATTTGTTTCCGGTTCAGTTAAATCAAAAAAAAATGATGGACAAACGATTGTATTGATTTCGGTTTGTGATAAAAAATTTAATGAACATTCACAATTTCGGTAAACACTTATATTCTATTGTTTTTATATTTTAACTCTATGAAATTTGTTGTTAAATCACAAGAACATGAGAAAGTAAACAAATATTTTCGGATTAAAAATATTATATCTATTGTTTCATTAAATAATAAATACTTATCGTTCCATTTCTTGTTCACTGTGTTCCTCTCTTCATTCATATCTAAGAAACTCGATTGAATATATATATATATATATATATATATATATATATATATATATAGTAATACATATATAGTAATGTTCTCACATTGTAAGTTAACTGTGTCAACTAGTTTCTCTATTTTTTTCTCCATATTAATTTACTTCTGTTGATTCTTATTTTACTAAATTAGCCATTTGTAAACAACTTTCTTTTCTGTTGTTTGTTGTGTAAGTAAATGAATAATAAATTATCATTACTTGACAATTTAGATCAATTGTGTTTTAAATAAGCATACACCGAAGGGGAAGATAAACTGTTTTTCAATAACAACAACAAAAATATTTTTTATTCACTTCGTTTAATTATGGAAACACCATGAGCGTGAAATAGTTATGGGATAGAAATAGTCACCTTAAGCAAGGCAAGTGCGTGAAAATAGATTATAAAATTTGTTCTAATTATTATGTTTCTCTATTATTTATTTCAAATTATATGAAAAGATTAACAATTATTTAAATTCCAAAATTTTGCACTGGATGTTGTTTTATGGATAATTTAAGACTTGGTTCATGGCCTTTCATATTTTTTTTCTAACGTTCATAATACTTGATTTGCAATCGATTCTATGCAAAGTAACTTGATGATCATAATGTAACATAAACTTGAAAATGTTTGACATTCCACTATTATTTTTGGGCAGTCTAGATTTCTTCATATCTGATCACTTGAAATGATGTAGTCTGAGTTGCGTTTTAAATGTATTTTGGAAATCGAAATCAACTCTGAATCAATCCGTACGGAATCTGACACACTTATTCACAGTATGATGACGATTTTTTTGTTGCAAGAAAATGTGACAAAATCATTCGTTTTGATATAATTACACTTACATTCATCCATGTTTCGCTTTGAGTGTTATTAAAGTGATATTTTGATTTCAAACTCATCAGCAATTTCTTTCCGTGATCCTTCATCTGGTTGAACCTATGATAATCAACTTATTTGACAAGCCAAATACACCGATTCGTAATTCAGAACCTATTAGCTCAATGTATTATTGTCACCATGTAAGAAAAGGTGCTACATTTTTTGTGTCGATAGGTCTCAAGACCGACCAAAACTACTACCTTAATAAAATAAAATAACTTAAGAAATAATTGCAACACAACTCATTTATGACTTACCGATTATCTTAATCTTTTGAGGATTACTATATCAGGAGTAAGACATAATTAATTATCCCCACTTAACTTAGGTGCTAATTATTCGAAAATATTCAAAGCCCAAAACAATAAAAGAATTTGAATTCTGTGAGATTGTCAAAAAACCATCAATTTTAATTACAGATGTATTATAAACTATTTCACAGATTAGTGTATTCATCTGCCAAGTTAGTTTCATTTTCTTTTGGCTAACTCATACTCTACGTGATATGAAAAAATTCAATAAGCATATCAATTTAACAGAAGATGAAATTTTCTCAGATGCTTATTAAATGAATAAACAACGATATGCCCTACCATGTTTCAATGATAATTATAGCTAAAGAGAATTAAGTCAATCGGAATAAGCACAGTAATTCACTTCCTAAAAACCTGTTCCATTTAGCGTATTACTCTTGATAATAATGGTCTGTAAAAAGAGTGAACACAATGACTGGACATTATTGGAACATATTTTTCTAACGGACTGATTTAGTCTTATTTCATAGACTTCCCAGAAAGTAAAGAATACTTACTAATAAACATTTTCTTTAATGTAAGATCAACAGAGATTACAACATTTCTCAGTTTCTGACAAAAAATGAATTTTTTAACCTCTTCTGATAGTGATATTTATATTTTGATGATTATATTTAGAACCAGTTTGCATCTGTCGTGTTGTATTTTTGTTAAGATATACTGTTATCGTAGATAGAGGAGATGAAGTGCAGAGTTCCTTTTATTGACTGATGAAGAGAACCTGCCAATCATATAAGTTATAATTCTTATGATTGCATTTCGTTGTCTTTTATTGACTACTTTATAATTAACTTTCAACTGATTCATTAACGCTTGTCGCCATTAAACAAATTTATTGTGAGTTCAAAATTTGAAGTTTTTAAAGATAAATAAGATTTATCATCTAAATAAATAACAAGATATGAAATAGCGAATACTGTATCAAAATTAGACCAGCTTTTTTTAATGTTTCAGACAAATGCTCACAAATGCAACTAATTGATTTCACTTGATACTGAAATTAAAGCCTATCAGAAAAAAAAAGAAATTTCTAATGAACAAATATTTATTTAAATTTTTTTTATAGAAGTAAATATTCCTTTTATTAGTCTCATTCAAATGTGTAATATTTTTTTTAATGTTTCAGCAATCATTGTTCCTCTGTTTTTATGTTAATCAATGATAAATTTATTCAATTATCAGTTAAAATATACCAACTTAGCTTCTACTCTGAATTTCCAAACAGCATAATCCGATGAAGTTTCTAAGAGTGGTGGCTGACGAGGGCTAGCGCTGGTTGCTGCCTTGGCTGGCAGCACCGGGGGTTCGTCTGAGTTCGCTTTGAGTTTTCCAGTAGTCAGCTCCAGCACCAATTGTAACACGTGTAACCAGAAGTCGCTGAAGGGCGGATAGGATCTACAAACACAACACACAAGGCTAGTTTAACACCTTACACCAAGAAAGAACACAAAGTGGTAGCCACGGCACTCTTTTATTTGAAAATTAAAATCCTCGTGGTTTGTACAGAAAGGGGTGACTAGTTTACCAAAGTCTTATGAGCCATCCTGTAAGTTTAGAGGACACAGGGATTGTTCTTCAGCTTCCCAAGCGCTTATGTTTGATCGCCCTGAAATAGGAAAAAACAGAACGGGCTAGCAACATCATACATGGTGATTTTGACTCCGTTACATATATGTATTACATATATTTTTAGAAAAGCATAGAATACTTCAAAAACAAACTAGCAAAACGTATACAATTTTTATTCAACTACTTGTTTTGACTTTATTTCGTTCATATATGGCTATTACCTTTTTTAACCTGAAACGACAACTATAATTTTACCAAATTTTCTCTACTTTTAACCAAAAACACATCTTTTTTAAACAAAACTCTTTGTGCATTGAATCGCTGGAAATATAATAATATACTATAAACACACAATATTATTTACGGCAGTTTTCGTTAACAATATGATTATTACTTAGCAAATTATCAAAGATATTTTTCAAGTGAATTAATTGATATTTGATTATAATTAATCCATGTTCTTTTCTCATTTAAAATCAAATCTCAAATTATCATAGTAGTTATTAATAAATGTAACTGCATATCTACTGGATTCATAAAGGGTATTTGTGAAGATTGTATTATTCCACCGGTTGAAATTACATTAGATTCTTAAGAACTAACTTTACGTTCGGCACTTCGGCGATCTATCTTTACACCTGAAAATAGTTGATTTGTCAAAACAGTAAATGATTCTCATAATTATCCTTCATGTTATTAAAAGTCATAAAAACAAAGTAATAAATAATTTTTAAATCAAGATTATCACTAGATAAAAAATATTATACGAACATCGTTTATAAGAGTTTATCCTTATCTCAATAATATTATAGTTATTACAACTAAATAGTCAGTGGACACGTGTGAATCGACATGTTAGGTGATAAGACATAATGTTATCATTCTTAGGGAGAAAAAGTGTCTGGTAAAAAGTTAAAACGATTGATTTTTTCTTGGTTAAACCTTTACAAATATAATTTATACCTACTGTTTTCAACAAATATGGTTTCCGATTTCATTATTGAAATGTTTCTATTAAATCTTGACAGAATTATGTGTATTCAGCAACATGAAAATTGTTAGCACATAATTCTTTTTATTTTGAAATTTTTTGTTGTGATTTGATTCAAGCTGACAATTAGCGTTCAGTTAACCCCCTAACATCTATGCTTCATTCGACATCTTTGTTTACATATAGAAGCATGTTAGCTTTTAATCATTTCATATCATTCAGTTACCTAATAGAAATTGAAGAATACAGTAAACTTATAGATTAAATGACCTATTTTTAAAACATTACTTATTTTGGTACTGTTGTCACTAATGTTATATATATATATATATATATATATATATATATATATATATATATATAAATTCAAACTGTTAGAGGTTGGTGTTTCTACATAATCTGTCGACTAAACTATTTCCTATCTGTTTCTCTTTCACTCCTCTTGTACGTTTGTTTGTAAATGTGTTAAGTCAGCATACTTTTGACATATACGTACGTATATGGTGGATCAATGAATGAACTGAACGAATAAACAAACACATGTGTGTATATATGTTTGTACTCCTAATTTAGATGTTGAGGCATTTTTTTTTTAAAAAAAAAAGACAATTGTTCTCTTACAATATAATTCAGTGCAAGAACTTATCTACTCTTTGTATTATTGGTTCATGTTTGTGTATTGATGAATGAATGACTGAAACGAACTACTTCATTTGCCCATAAAATAGGAAATTATTTTAATGTTTTTTTAACCACTAGATTTCTCAATTTCACTCTCACTTCTTTTTTATTTAACACAAACACACATTTTGATTTTTGCCATTAAAACATCATATCATTCTCTTACCAGTGTTAAAGTATCATGTTAAATAATCATATTTCACACTAATTATTATTATCCCTACTAGTTCATCATCATATAAACTTATGTACATATACATATAAATATACAAATATATATATATCTGTTGATGTCAACAGTCACATTTTGAGGATATCATACAAGTTGAATAAAATTGAATAAAATGAATGTTGACGTTAAGGCCAACAAATTGGAAATTAAAACATATTTATTTGTATTATTTTTTTTCATCCAATTACAGATAGTCAACACAAAAAATATCATTCAGTAACTTGGAAGAAGTTTGTTGTGACAATTTTAATGTACACTAATTTCTTTTTAATATCACTGTAAGCAATTCAAATGGATAAACATTATTTTACTCATCAATGTACAATGATTTCATCAGTTCATCCACGTAAATTTGTCAACTGTTGAATTGTATTTAACGAATAGAGTAAGTTTTAAATTGCTAATCAGTTCATGAAATATTATTGATTTTTTTTCCTACACTGCTGTTTAACTCAATAAATATAATATGGTGCTTACATTTTTCATTCTAATTTTTATGTTTTCATCCATCATCCATTCATGAATATTCTGTTTATTATCTTAAATAAAAATGTTGAAATTGTACTGCTGAGCATATAGGTTAACATGAAATAGTTGTTTACGTAAACTGTAGCATCCAGTTTAGCTTGACTTATTACATAGAATTATATAATATCTAAATTTATTCTGTGGTCTTAAATGGGGATGATGTCACAGCATAATTCATGCATTTTCACTTATCAAGAAATGAATATTTTATTATTTTAGATTATAAATCGTTTAATATTCAGCTTAGTAAAATAGTGGATTGTGTAGAACATTATGTTGATGACTTATTTATATTGCTTTGATTAATCAGTCAAATAATTTGATTAATAATCACTAGATTTCCTTTAGTAAATTTAATTTTAATATGATTGTCAGATAAATATTAACATTGTTATGCAATACAGGTTTTCATGAACTTTGTATAGATTATATCTACAGATCCATTTATCATGATAAAAGTGCTCAAATTAAAAATTTAAACAATGTTTGCAATATGATTTAATTTCTGAACTAATATATTTTGCAAACTATGAGTGAAGTGGAGAAATGCATTAACTTACAGCTTAGCTAACTTACGATTACGCAAATGACAGTAAAATAAATTTATTTGAAATTATGACCTCTTTAGTTTTTTTTCAAGGAAAATATCTAATAAATATTCAGATAATCTAAGAATTACTTTCCCGATTAGTGTATTGAATACAAAAATTATCAGCAATTTGAAATACAATAGGTAATAGATTTTTGCAGATAGACGTTTGTTCTGATGATGTTGTTCAGAAGAAGAATGAAAGCTCTACAACCAAAACATCCAACTCGGAGAACGAAACTCCATCACTTAAACTTAATATAATCACCTTTCGTTTACATAGGTATATTTACTAATAAATTTGTCCACTTTAAAATAATTTATATATCTATGCGTATCCAAATCAAGAGGATATAATTTGCTTACTTGTGTAGTACACAATATTTCTTGCTAACAAAATATGTTTAAAATCACTGACCTAGATTTTCTTATATGATGTGTTGTAGATTATGAGATTGTGAGGAATGAAGAAGCTTAGAATTTTATAGAACACAAAGAGTGAATGCACCTGCGCCATTGTAAACGATTTTGAGCCATGTCGTTCAAGGTCTCTAACCACCGGTGACTTTCGTCTCGCGGACCCCAAGCAAGTAGCCTACATCTACCAACATGACTCAGTCCACTTGTCAGTGACTTCATGCATTTCTGCCATGTTTTGGTTTGGCCGCCCCTAACTTTCTTCCAGCCTACTCCCACACTACAAAACAAAGCTCGTCGCGGCAGTCGGTGGTTAGGCATAGGTAACACATGTCCCAACCACCTCAACTGATGAAGTTTCACTACTTCATATATTGATTAGACATCCCTACCTAGCACCCGTTTCCTAACGACAGCATTGCTTATACGGTTGTCCCAGAATATACGAGCAATGCTCCGGAGACAACGGTGGTCGAAGACTAGTAACCTACGAATGTCCTCTACTCTTAACGGCCACGTTTCGCATCGGTACAGTAGGACGGAGCGAACTGCTGCGTAGTGGACTCGTCCTTTGGTTAGCGAGCGGACATCTTGCCTGCGCCATAAGTGACGCAGATTGGTAAAAGCCAATCGAGCCTTCTGTTTCCGTGCTAGTTACAAAACACACATCAATATATATAGTGAACAGTTTTAGTGACCTGATCTTTGGTACAATCACATAACACCTGTCATATTGAATGTTTCGAATAGATTTTAAAAAAAAACCATTAATTGTCTTGTAAATGTATTTACTGGTCTAGACACTTAGGAGAAATAAAAATGACGACAATTAACCACACACACACGTGAGAATTCCGATAATTGAGGTTTATATTAAAATATTTGGAGTGTTTAAGGTAGATGCTTTTGTTTACATTTGGATGTATCTTTTTGCTGACATATATATACATATATATGTGTGTATAAATGAAATAACTTTTATACGGATATATTTAGATGATTGAATTACTTCACTAGGTACTATCTAAATATAAAATTGATGAATAAAAATAAATATAAATAGAAGTTACTAGTACACACTGAACATTAATAGTACTAAAAAAAATACAGTTACCGATAAATAAAAAAAAGTTGTTATTTTTGAAGTAAATAATAAAACACAAAAAAATTGTTAAAATAAATAAACGAATCATTTTTTGTATATTACATACTGACTGACACAGTCTCCACATATGTACCATGTGTTTTTAGAAAAAAGTATCTAATGAGTATGAAACATAGACTTAGAGGAATATATACATATAAATCGATGATTTCCGAAAGATTACATTGTACTTTAAGTTCCTTTATCAAATTTTCATTGAGATGAATTTAATTTTATTAATTTTTAATATTAGTCTGGTACAAGTTAATAGTGCATTGTCTAAGTTAAAATGTTTTATTTTCAAACAATTCATTGTTTAGGCTGAGAGTTTAACATAATATTTAATGTGGTAAACATAAACTACAACTCAGTGTTAATAACAATGATAATGGATTGTTTGATGTCACCTTACATCAATATATCATGTAAAGTCTGATAATAATTAGCTACTCTTCTTTCTAAATATCGACTGTTGACAAGAAAACAAGATTCATCATTGACTGATAGATTTCCATATTGCAATAACCGGTATCTTCACACTTTCTTGATTACGTTCAATAAATCACAAATTTCTTAATCGTTTAGTATCAATTTTTTCATTGCGCATTTTTTGAAACGCATCTGATGGATCAATCAGTATTAAATTTTGAGCATCTTGATGCAAAAAAAATTTCAACAAATGTAAACACCCACTGGAATAGTATAATTCACATTGAACATTGCAATCTGTTAACAGATCGTTTAGGATATAACAGAACCTCTAGTTATGCTTAAACTACTATAAACTTCAAAAGTTTATTGGAATGACAAATACTGAACATAAATTAACATGATAACCTATAAATGATATAGTGATAGAATTTATTGAACTGGTTGTACACCAACATTATTATTTTTATTTGTAGAAGCGTGAATTTTTGTTTATATTAAAAACTTTAAAGTTAAATTAATTTCTTTAATTTCAAGTATCATTTAATATTAGCTAGGTTAAATAGATAATTAATGATTCCTTGTAATAAATGTTAAAATGATGTATTCAACCTAAGTAAATGCATTTTGTAAAATAAACCATAAAATTTCTTCATGCGCACCATTAATATTTAATTGTACAAGAAACGGTAAACGACCTAGAAAGATGAAGTAATTTATTATCAAAACTAATGGTAGATCAATGATAACCATAAGTACAACAAAATTATTTAATTGCTAACAAAAGTGATAAATAATTAATTTATTTTTTTCCAATAATTTCAGCTTTCGTTTATTATGAATTGTTAATTAGTTCATTGTGGTAAGTTCTTTTTTTCTAAAATAATGCCCCATATGGTCTGAATTATATTGATAATGGTCATTAATTATATTCCATATATATATATTTATAAAGATTAGAATAGATAAGTTTATAGGAATTCATTCAAACTTAGGTTTTGTTCTGCTGGGGATGTTAGATCCCCAAAACTCGCTTGATAAATGCCTGATTTCGGATTTCACGTTTGCCAGCATGGGCTGATCAGCTGACCTTGAGATTTCATTTCCCACCAGGAAAGTCCATGGCCGTGATGGCTGCTGTGTATTTTAGTGTCCTATTTTCGTAATAGCTTCAAGTGTACCTAGTGACGAACCCTTTATTTCTTAACATTTCATCAATTAGTTGAGTATTTCCAGTTTACATCATGAATGAATGTTCACTGAGGAATTATTTACTGATTGTTTATTCCTTATAACCTAATGAATCACGCATCAAAACAGTGAAAATGATGAAGTTATTAGGAGACTCAATTAATGAATGTTTTATTTGCAGCTGAATCCTAGAAACGTTTTTAATACAAAGCTAATTGTGAATAAAATATGAACTGTAGTAGACATCTAATCTTAGGACTTAAGATACAAATATTAAATGGCTGATAGTTAATCGCGCACATGTTACAGCCACTGAGGTTTGATAAATTTATAGATGTGAAACAATACATGAATCAATACGTTTTAAAGTTGAGGTCTTATAAACCGTTTGTATTTCTTGAAATATTTATTAAACAATAAAATTATTATTTTGTTAGACTGAGAATAAACATAACGATATTTATCTAATTAAAATTAAATGCTAAGCTCAATATCTCATCTATGGTAAATATAAGAATTTATTCGACAATTCGATAATTAGAATCTTTTATGTGTAACCCAAAAGTAGTCTGATAGTTCATTAATGTTCCAAATTAGTTTCCATTAAGTGTTAACGAGACAGCTAACATATTTGAAAATCAAAATGGAAACCTCAATCATGTTAAAGTCATTAGGTAATTAGACTACAGACATTTTTTTAACTTTGCAGTCCTTATGGCAAATGATAATGTTCCCCTGAGTTAATTATCACTGAAACAATATGTGTCCTCATAATACAATTAGAAACTGATTTCCTCCAATTTATATCTATCCAACGTAATTTGATCTAATCATTAACTAAATGACATTATTTGCCATCTAATCAAATTCTTACTAGAGAAAAATAGTTATATATTTTCATCTTTAATTACTTCATTATCAGTTTTATTTCTTAATTAAAAAATATTATAAATTAAGTGTTAACGTTTTCTTTTGTTTTCTACAATGTATCTCAAATCAAGTAGATGATTTTATTCATTTAAACTGAGATAAAAAATGACGATAACTGTTAATAATGTTGACTTGTTAAAAAAACGTTACTTCATTG